GTCTCGGGCGGGGCGCGCGGGAGAGGCCGCCAGGTGCCCCCCGCCGCGGGCCCGGGCCCCCCGCCCCGGGGCGGCGGCGGTGGCGCCGGGCCCCGGGGCGGGGGGCGCGCCGGGATGGGCCCCAAGCGGCGGCAGCTGACGTTCCGGGAGAAGTCGCGGATCATCCAGGAGGTGGAGGAGAACCCGGACCTGCGCAAGGGCGAGATCGCGCGGCGCTTCAACATCCCGCCGTCCACGCTGAGCACCATCCTGAAGAACAAGCGCGCCATCCTGGCGTCGGAGCGCAAGTACGGTGTGGCCTCCACCTGCCGCAAGACCAACAAGCTGTCCCCCTACGACAAGCTCGAGGGGCTGCTCATCGCCTGGTTCCAGCAGATCCGCGCCGCTGGCCTACCCGTCAAGGGCATCATCCTCAAGGAGAAGGCGCTGCGTATAGCCGAGGAGCTGGGCATGGACGACTTCACCGCCTCCAACGGTTGGCTGGACCGCTTCCGCCGGCGCCACGGTGTGGTGTCCTGCAGCGGTGTGGCCCGCGCCCGGTCGCGCAATGCTGCCCCCCGGCCCGCAGCGGCTCCCGCCAGCCCGCCGGCGGTCCCCTCGGAGGGCAGCGGCGGGGGTTCGACGGGCTGGCGCGCTCGGGAGGAGCAGCCGCCGTCGGTGGCCGAGGGCTACGCCTCCCAGGACGTGTTCAGCGCCATCGAGACCAGTCTGTGGTACGACTTCCTGCCCGACCAGGCTGCGGGGCTGTGCGGCAGCGACGGACGGGCACGCAGGGCCACCCAGCGCCTGAGTGTCCTGCTGTGCGCCAACGCAGACGGCAGCGAGAAGCTGCCCCCGCTCGTGGCCGGCAAATCGGCCAAGCCCCGCGCGGGCCAAGCCGGCCTGCCCTGCGACTACACCGCCAACTCGAAGGGCGGTGTCACCACCCAGGCCCTGGCCAAGTACCTGAAGGCCCTGGACACTCGCATGGCCGCGGAGTCTCGCCGAGTCCTGCTGCTGGCGGGCCGCCTGGCTGCGCAGTCCCTGGATACCTCGGGCCTGCGGCACGTACAGCTGGCCTTCTTCCCGCCGGGCACCGTGCAGCCGCTCGAGCGGGGAGTAGTCCAGCAGGTGAAGGGCCACTACCGCCAGGCTATGCTCCTCAAGGCCATGGCCGCGCTGGAGGGCCAGGATCGCTCGGGGCTGCAGCTAGGGTTGATGGAGGCGCTGCACTTCGTGGCTGCTGCCTGGCAGGCAGTGGAGCCTTCGGACATCGCTGCCTGCTTCCGCGAGGCCGGCTTCGGCGGTGGCCCAGATGCCGCCATCACCACCGCGCTCAAGAGTGAGGGGGAGGAAGAGGAGGACGAGGAGGAGGAGGACGAAGAGGAGGAGGAGGAGGAGGAGGAGGAGGGGGAAGGGGAGGAGGAGGAGGAGGAGGAGGAAGGCGAGGAGGAGGAGGAAGGGGGGGAAGGAGAGGAGCTGGGGGAGGAAGAGGAGGTGGAAGAGGAGGGTGATGTTGATGACAGTGAGGAAGAGGAGGAGGAAGAGGAGGAAGAGAGCTCCTCTGAGGGGTTGGAGGCTGAGGACTGGGCCCAGGGGGTAGTGGAAGCTGGTGGCAGCTTCGGGGGCTACAGCGCCCAGGAGGAGGCCCAGTGCCCTACCCTCCACTTTCTGGAGGGTGCAGAGGACTCTGAGTCTGACAGTGAGGAAGAGGAGGAAGAGGAGGAGGATGAAGATGACGAAGACGATGAAGATGAGGAGGAGGATGGTGACGAGGTGCCTGTGCCCAGCTTCGGGGAGGCCATGGCTTACTTCGCTATGGTCAAGAGGTACCTGACTTCCTTCCCCATCGACGACCGAGTGCAGAGCCACATCCTTCACTTGGAACACGATCTGGTCCACGTGACCAGGAAGAACCACGCCAGGCAGGCGGGAGTTCGGGGTCTTGGACATCAAAGCTGAGCCGCCGGGGCCTAGTCCTGCCCGACCCGGATGTGGCAGCGCCAGCCCAGGGCGGAGGACTCTCCGGGCAGCCGCTGCGGATGGAGCCAAGAGTGGGGAGCTCCAGAGCCTTTAGTGATGTTCCTCGGGCCCTGTGACAGGCCCAGCCACCTCGGTAGGGCCCGGGGCTGGCGTCAGCCTCACTGCCTGCTTATTGCCTCTTTCTCAGAGTCCTCTTTCCTCCCCATTTGCCCCTGGGCTTGGGGGACCAGGTGGGGAGGGTGGGGAGCTGTCCGGTGCTACCACACCGTGCCATCAGTGGACTAGGCCACAGGAGCCGCCAGGGATGGGCCCTGGAAGCTCCCGGCCGGAGAGTGCCTCTCCCCTCTGCCGTCCACACCAGGTCTTTGGTGGGGGGGACCCCAAAGCCATTCTGGGAAGGGCTCCAGAGGAAGGTCCAGCCTAGGCCCCCACAAGGCTGGCAGCCCCCTACCCCTGCCCCTGGGCCGCCTTGAGAAGCACAGTCTAACTCACCGCAGGCTCCTGAGCCTGCCTCTGCCTGCTTCCCCATCTTCCCAGTCCCTTTCTCTGGCCCAGTCCAGGTTGGCCTTTGGTTTTCTTTCCAGATTGGAGGTTCCCAAGAGGCCCTCCAGGGGAGTGGTAATGGGCACTTCCCTTGTGGGTAGCTGCAGGCCCCATGCCTCTCCTCCCTCTCTGACAGGGCCCTATCCTGGGCAGGGGGCCTGGGGCTGGGCCCATAGTCCAGCCATCCAGCCACTCCTTTCCCAGTCTGAATTCAATAAATCCGTCCACCCCCCTTTTGTGGGGGTGAACGTTTTAACAGCCAAGGGTGCATCCTTCATATTCTGGGCTTGCGTCTGTCTTGGGAACACGTCCTTCCCTGGTTCCCTTTGGTCCTTGTTCTGGTGGGACATGGAACCAAGTGCTGAGAGGGTAGCCGCAACTTTGGCCCTGACTGGGGCGAGGGGCCACCTCCATATCTAAATATTATCTAGGCTTGGGGAGGAAGGGGTCTTAAACGTACCTGCTTGGGTTTGAAGAAAGCCGGGCCTTGCACTGCTTTGGGGTTAGAAAGAAGCCTGGGGTCAGCTAGCTAGGAGAGGAGGGAGGGAGCCAGCTCTCTCTGTTGGACCAAATTAAACTGGGAACTAGGCCTCTTGAGCCCATTAAAGAAGGTCCTTGCAGGGGTGGGGCCAGAGGACTGAGCAAGAGGGGTGCTGGGGCAACTTCTGTGGTCCAGGTTGGAGTCTGGAGGGACATACAGGGCATCCCTTGGTTTACCTTTGATGCCTTAAGAGGGAGCCCTTTAGACCTTCCCGTGTTTGGCATCTCCAAGCCTGGTGGCTATCCTGGGGACAGTGGCAGGAGGAAGATAAAATTCCTGGGACAGACTGCATCCCCAAGAAGCTGGGGGCACCCCAGTCCAAAGGTGAAGACTGCTGTCTCTGCTGATCCTACCCCTTTTCTCCTTTCCCCGCCCAGCCCCTCCCTCATTGAAGCCCTCAAGCCCCAGCGGTTCCAGCCAGGGGAGGACTTGGGCTTGAGGAGGCTGGGCAGCTCTGGGCCCCAAACCGGTTTTCCCACCTCTCCTGGGGCTGGCACATCGCCGTGCTGTGGTTCCCTCCCCACCACTTCCTTTCAGTTCCTCTCTCCACCCTGGAATGTTAAGGGGGGGATGTCTAGGTCTTTTGTCCCTTGCCTGCCCCGGGTGTGGTCTCTTCTAGAAAGGCAAGGCCACTATGTATGACTTTAAAACAAGAAGGTAGGGTGACACTTCCACACTTGGCCTTCCACACTCCCAGCGCTCAGATTTCCCCTGTAGGCCTTGAAGACAATGAAACTAAGGGATAGCAAAAAGGAGTTGGGATTCCCCTTACCATCATCCCCCACCCCAATCTGAGCTGTGGAGGAGGAAACGAGAAAGTCTTAAGGAAGCTCAGCCTACCCCTGCCACCACCACCCCCTCCTGCTCTGGAGTAAGGGGGGAGCAGTAACCTTCTCCCTGTTCAACTCGGCCCCTCACCTCAAATACCAACAAGGCAAATCATTTCCATTTGTCTCCTCTTCTGCTGGAACTGAGGTCATCTCATTAATGATAGCACCAACTGATGTTAATAGGGCCCTTGCTGTGTGCCAAGTGCTGTGCTAAGCACTTTAGATGCTCACAAATCCCCTATAAGGTAGGTAAAACCATGAGAAAACAGGCACAGAAAGGTCCAGTAATGTGCCCAAAGCCACATTGCTAGTCTTTGATGGAAGCAAGCTTTCTTCTCTGGCTGACCCTAGAAGTGCCTCTTTGCTGCTACTGTGTGTCCCTTCACTAAGGAAGGACCCATATCCCTAACCCTTCTACAAGGAGTGCTCTTTTGAAATGGAACTGGCTACTGAAATCCATTTCTAACCCATGGAAGAATAGCCCTTTGGAGGGAGATGAGTTGTGGAAGTGTCTACAGGAGCTCTCCAAGCTTTTACTCCCATACCCCCAGTCCCCATACAAATGCAGATCTGTAAATACGCTTCCCGTTTTCCTCCCTACTACCCCATTGGGGCAAACAGGCGAGAACCATTCCCACTTCACAAAGGAGGAAATAGGGTTAAGTAGTTAAATAACCTGCCCAAGGCACTGGCCTTGAGCCCTAGTACTCTCCCTGGGAATCTGGGTGACATATTAAATGCCCTACCAGGACACTGCTGGGAAGGGCAGTAGCAGTGAGGGCCCTAATAGCACAGAGCTCTGAGGAGGGACCTAGCAAGGAGGCACTGTCACACAGCCTATCACACAATCCAGATGGGAAGCGGCAGATGATTAACAGTGGATGCCCAGATAAAGCTGACAAACACTGGGATGCTGCCTTCACTTGGGACTGATCGCTAAAGGATCCAGAAGGGGAATCCCAGCCCTGGGGAGGCTGGTGCAGGGATTCTGAGGGCCTGGTTGGCTTTGACAGGTTTCAGAGTGGGCTAGTGGCTGATCAGGTGGCGTTGGGCGCAGATACTGGGAAGAGGAGGCCATCTAATCGCCTTTTCAAAGCTGGGGCCTGAGAGTAAGTAGAGGGAGAAAACTACAACTCCCAGAAACCCCTGCTCCCGCCCAGCCAAGGATAGTTGCTATGGTTTCAGAAAACAATATGGCTGCTCCCAGCTGGGAGGAGAGTCTCCGGATGGGAGAGGCAGAGGCAGGTCTGGTCGCCCTCAGCGGCGAGAGAAGAGGCGCCTGAGGGATCGTGAGGTTGGGGCTGGACGCTGCACGGCTGGAACGGCCTTGCCTTGCCGAGGGTGCTGATGGCGGGCAGCGTGGACGAGGAGGCGCTGCACCAGCTGTACCTGTGGGTAGACAACATTCCTCTGTCCCGACCCAAGCGAAATCTCTCCAGGGACTTCAGTGACGGAGGTGTGCACCTCAGTATGTGTGCGCTCCTGTGTGTCTGTCCCGTGTGTCCGTGTTTGTTGACACGTTCTGTCCTGTATGTACGTGTGTAAGGGGTCTGTATACATATGTCTCCTTGTGCTTCTGTGCGTTTGGGTATGTGTGTGTTGGGGGGCGTCTATCTCTTAGAACTTCAGTTATGTGTGTGTGTGTGTGTTTCTATCTGTATCTGTGGGAATATGAGTATGTGTGTGTCCATATGTATGTCCCCTTGTTCTATCCTATATGCATGTGTGGTGGTGATGATTGTGTGTGTCTGTGACTCCCTCCTGAGACTTTAATGACTAAGATGTGTATCTGTGTATGTTTTTGTGCTTCTCTCTGTGTGTACTTGTTCATTGCTGTATTCTATATATCTGTCTTGTGGGAGTCTGAGCATGTGTATGTTCATATGTTTGTTGATACGTTCTGTCTTGTTATGCATGTAGGGGGTCTTATGTGCATATGTGTTTCTTTGTGATTATTAGGTGTCTGTATGTCTAAGGCTGTCTCCTGAGATTTTAATGGCAGAAATATGCATCTCTATATGGTACATTGGTGCCTGTGTGATTTATTGTGCTTGTGTGTGTTAGTGACTATCTCTTGGAACTCCAGTGATGGAAACATGTGTCTGTGTATGTTTGTGCATCTCTGTGTGTTGTATGTGTGTGTGCTATATGTGGACCTGTGTATATATGGGCATGTGTGTGTCCTGTGTGTCTACACACTTTGTCCTATGTGCATATTTGGAGGGGGATCTTATCACATGTGTCTGCTTGTGTGAATCTGTGACTCTTTGTTGGGACTTTGGTGTTGGAGTGTGTGTGTGTGTGTGTGTGTGTGTGTATCCGTGTAAATGACTAGGGTGGGCCCCAGGCCCCTGATGGGCTCTCTTGGAGACTCATTCTCTACTAGAGGACCAGAGACCTTAGTTTTCATATGCCTGAGCTGATGAGGATGGGATGTCACTCCTCTGGGACATGGTGGAGGCTGATCACTGATTTCTGATCTTGCTTTCTTGAATCCCTTTCCCTCTCCTCCACCACCCCTCCCTCCCTATCATCCTTTCCCTTTCCACATCACCTCTGTGCTTGGCCCCACCACTCTGCAAGCCCTGATTCTTCCATCCCATGCACATCTTCTCCCTACTCCTTTTCCCTTACCCCCCCCCACACCCCGTCCATGTCTGTTCCCATTCCCTCAGTCCTGGTTGCAGAAGTCATCAAGTTTTACTTCCCCAAGATGGTGGAGATGCACAATTATGTCCCTGCCAGCTCTCTCCAACAGAAGCTCAGCAATTGGGGTCACCTAAACAGGTAGCAGAATGCCTCGTGCACTACCGGAATCTCCATCCCCTACCCCAACCCCGGGATCCCAGGAAGGGCTGCCCCAGCACGCCCCCACACACACACTTTCTATGGTCTCCAAAGCCCAGCCTGGGATTCCGTTGGTGGCAGGGTAGGGAGGGACAGCGCAGACAGAATCTGGTAACAAAATCAAGGGACTCTTTTATTGGGGAGGAGACAAGGAAACAGGATACCCCAGAATCGGGTTCATTCCCCCAGGGCTGCACCACTTCCTTCTCCTCCACGCCCCTCACTTCATTCCCCCGAGACCCAGTCCGCCATCCCGGTGCCTATCTCGCAGGAAGGTGCTGAACAAACTGAACTTCTCCGTACCGGAGGATGTGATGCGCAAGATCGCGCAATGCGCGCCGGGCGTGGTGGAGTTAGTGCTCATTCCGCTGAGGCAGCGCCTGGAGGAGCGGCAGAGGCTCAGGAAGCAGCGCACCAGCAACTTACAGGTGCCACCCCACTCAAGCTTCTCCCACTGCTTTGCGGGAGCTTCCCAGGCGGCAGGAAGCCCCGCCTTGCCGATAGATGTGGGGGAAGGGTGTCTGGCAAAGGGACCCTGGCTTTGGGGACCGCGGAAGAGACATGGGGCTCCTTGGGGATGAGCGAGCCTGACCTCACAGTAAACCCCGGGGCTTCTTTCAGGAGCTGGCTCCCCAGGATGGCACTGGCTACATGGATGTGGGTAAAGTGATCTTTACTTGTCTTCCCTCCCAGGAGCAGCTTTCCTTCTGTCCTACCTATGGGGGAGAGGAGGGAGGGAGAAGGCAGGAAAATACGGCTCCAGCACGGCCAACTCCTCCACTTGCCTCCTCTCAGGTTTGTTCCAGAAGGCCCGAGGGGAAGATGCCCCAGACCCCCAGGGAGGGGGGCAGCTCAGGTAAGGAAGCTGGGAGTTCCTATCTCCCCAGGCCTGGTGATTCCCCAATACAGGGCTGGCAGGTAAGGGTGGGGGCAGGCTATTCCTGGGAAGCAGGAACGGGGGTGGGGCGGGGAGGGAAGGCCTGGCCGAGGGGCATTGGAAGGGTGAGCGTGGGGCCCCAGGTCCGGGCCTCCGCTAAGCTGCTTCCCACCCCAGGGCGAGCCGGCCGCCCGCGCCCCGGCCTCCGGGATATAGCCAGGCAGTGCAGGGCGACCCAAGCTTCGTCCTCCAGATCGCTGAAAAAGAGCAGGAGCTGTTGGCCTCGCAGGAGACCGTGCAGGTGAGGTTGACTGGGAACGCGCGGGCGGTGGTGGGGCAGTGCGGGCTTAGGGACAGAGGGCAGCAGGCCGCTGACTTCGCCTCTGTGCCTCATGGCCCAGGTCCTGCAGATGAAGGTGAGGCGCTTGGAGCACTTGCTTCAGCTCAAGAACGTGCGCATCGACGACCTCTCCCGGCGGCTCCAGCAGGCAGAGCGTAAGCAGCGGTGAGCGGCGGCCCGGGCCGCGCGGGGACGCCCCAGTACCCGCCAGAGCCCAGACACCGCGACCGACGCACCCACCGACCTACTGACGGACGAATGGGCGGGCGGAGCCAGCAGCTCCAATGAGCCTCCTCGGGAGCCAGCGCGCCCCTCCCTTGGGATGAGGGCGAATATGGGGGGGAGGGGCAGTGAGGCAGGCGCCTTCAGAGCGGAGCCCCTGGACTGAGCCACCTCCTTCCACTCCACCCGGGTCAGGAGAATGGACCGCTTTCCAGAACCCAGAAGCCACGTGCAGAGATCTCGCATGCTCCCCAAAGCAATGCCCAACACCAGGGTCTCCGCCTTGGTGCTCCCTGCTCTGGGCCTTGGGGGGCGGTGCCTCGGCTCGGTTCACACCCCTAGAAACAGGTCCCAGCCCAGCTCTGAGGACAACGGCACCTCCAGCCAGGCTAGTTCTCTGTGCTCTGGGCCGTGGGGGAAGCTGCCCCAGGCAGCTGAGGGCGACCCTTGCCTGTCCTGGGAGCTCACCTGGGACCCAACTCGAGGATGGAGAACACAGCAGCTGGAGAAGAAGGGGTGAGGAATGGGTTCAGCCAGGAGTGGGGAAGACATGCGCTGTGTCTGTCCCAATCACCCTCCCCTCCTGTGGGGGGAACTTTGAGAATGCTTGGGAGATATGGGGTCACAGTGCCCCCATTAAAGAAGTTGTGCTATCTTTCCAGCAACTGCCTTCTCTCTCTGTCCAGATTTCTTGCCCCTCTTAATGCTGCACTCCACCACCACCCCCCTTTTGAGTGAAAGAGCCTTGTAGGCCCAGAGTGGGTCTCACCTTGTGGGCACCTGGTCCCTGCGTGGCCACTGCCTGATAGGTTGATGATATCACAAGAGTCAGATCTTGTGCACTAGAACAGCCTGACTTCTAACTCTGGCCTTAGACTGAGCCCCAAACCCACCCTCACAGAATCTTCCAACACTGTCCAAACCCAACTCCAAACCTAGGCTTCACATTCTCCCCAAGTGTAAACACACCCTCACCCTCACTCTCAACCCTGTCCATGGACTGACCCCCAAATCTGTCCTCTGTATGACTCCCAAGCCCGCTCACAGACTGTTCCCTAATTCTATGGACTGAAGTCAAGCTTGACTCTCAAACCTGACCAAGACACTCTGGCCATGATGTGACCCTGATAATTTACTACTAATAACATTCAGAGACCCCACAATTCTATTCCTACACATATATTTAGCATATACCTCGGGGAAACTTAAGCTCTTGTGTTCTGTATTCTGCCACACCTGTACAAGCAATGTTCATAGTGACATTCTCTGTAATAGAAAATAATTGAAAATAACTTGTATTAGTGTCTATCATGTGTAAGAAATTACCACAAACTTAGTGACTTAAAACAGCACACACTTATTATCTCATATTTTGTGTGGGTCAAGAGTCCAGGCATGGCCGAACTTGGTCCTCTGCTTCAGAGTTTCTCCTAAGGCTGCAATCAAAGTGTTGGCTAGAGCTGTGGTTTCATCTGAAGTCTTGACTGGGGAAGGATTCACTTTCAAGTTCACTTGGTTGTTGACAGAATTCAGTTCTTTGTGGGCTGTTGGACCGAGGGTTTCATTTTCTTGCTGGTTTTTGGCTGGTGCTGCCCTCCTTTCCTTCCCATGTGGTCACATCCAGTAAGTATGCTAGCTTACTTCACCAAAGCCAGCAAAAGAGAGAGTTAACAGAGTCTGCTAGCAAGGTGGCAGTTGCAATCTTATCTAATGTAATCACAGAAGTGACATCCATCACATTTGTTGTATCCTATTTATTAGAAGTAAGTCATGAGGTCCAGCCCACATTCAAGTGGAGAGGTACATGTGGGTGTGAATACCAGGAGACAGGGATTACTGGGAGCCATTTCTGAAGCTGTCTACCACAGGGAGGAAAAAGCAATAAAAAGATAAAAGCTAGACTAGTGGTTACCTCTGAGAGGAAGCAGAGGGCAGAGATGCAAGAAGCATATGATTTATTTGTAATGTTTTAGTCCTTGGGCAGGTGGTGGGTTTACAGATGTTCCTAATGGGCTGTTTAAGGACAAGCAGGAGAGTGTCATGAACTAAGGAGTATGTGCAGTCCATTTCTGTTCACCTGAGTTCCTCAAATAATAAATAAACATAAAAATTGATGACTACTCCTGACCTTGGTCTGAGCCTCTTCCCTGCACTCAGCCTGGTCTTAGGTTAACACTGGCGTCAGCCTGATCTTCTACCTTCCCCCAATTTTTTTAAAGATTTTATTTATTTATTGACAGAGAGAGACACAGCAAGAGAGGGAACACAAGCAGGGGGGGTCAGAGAGGGAGAAGCAGGCCCCCCGCCAAGCAGGGAGCCCGACGTGGGGCTCTATCCCAGGACTCTGGGATCATGACCCAAGCCGAAGGCAGACACCTAACGACTGAGCCACCCAGGCACGCCCCGTCCCCAAATTAACCACCAGCCCTCACACATATTGATCCCAGCTCTAGCACTGTTTTCTTGCTATTGTCTGCATGGAGTCTCCAGAGTTCTGTTCTCTGAATCCCTTGTCATGGACCACAACTGTAGACTCCTGTGTGTGCAGCTGGTAGGAATGGTTTGTAGAGGGGCTTGGGGTCCAGGAGGTGGGGTAGGGCATGATTCTACCTGACAGAAGCACGGTGGGCTCAGAGTACAGGTTTGGTGGCAGGGGTCACCCTCTCAAGGGTCTGCTGGCTCCCTCCATGGCAGAGGCTGGGCCAAGTCCAGAGGTTCCTCTTCCTTGAGTTCCTCCCCTGGCCCCAGCCATTCCTAGTATCCAGATATGCCTGCATCTAAAATCATATTTGACACCCTAAAATTAAATCCCCCAAACAATGGAGAATTTTATTGAATGTTTCTTGGGGATAAATATGAAAGTGGATTACATCACACATTATAATCCTACAACTCTTCTTTTTTTATTTTTTTAAGTATTTTTATTTATTTATTTGACAGAGAGAGACACAGCGAGAGAGGGAACACAAGCAGGGGGAGTGGGAGAGAGAGAGAGGGAGAAGCAGGCTTCCCACCGAGCAGGGAGCAGGGAGCAGGGAGCCTGACGTGGGACTCGATCCCAGGACCCTGGGATCATGACCTGAGCCGAAGGCAGATGCTTAACGACTGAGCCACCCAGGAGCCCCTCCTATAACTCTTCTTGAAACATCCCTCTTGTTCCCCAAACTTCCCCTGACAGCCATTGCCATATTTCTCCCCCTTTGATCCTCACACTCCTCTCCCTTTTCTGACCCACACTAAATCTTATTTCTTCTGGTTCATTCATTCATTCACTCATTCATTCCTCAAATGTTTATTTAGTGCCTACTATGTACTAAATGCCACACAAAGATGAGTATAAAACATGATTTGTCTCCCCAAGTGTTCACAATCCTAGAAGAGGAGAGGGCATGCGAAGTGGTCTTAAAATTTTTTGTTACTCAATGTTTTAAATAGATAAAACACACATAATTAAAACACATATAAAAAGTAAAATGTCTCCTTGGCGCCCACACAACTCCAGTAGGGTTAACCTTTATCTTTAGTTTTTGTGCATTCTGCCAGAATATCTTTTTGTGAATACAAGCAAATATGCACTTTTATTGTTATTCTGCACCCCCTCTTTTTTCTTTTTTTACCCTAAAGGGGAAGCATACTACCCACTCTGTCCTGTATCTTGATTTCCACTCAATATGATCTCTTATAGATATGTGACGGTCAATGTTATATGCCAGCTTGACTGGGTCACAGGATGCCCAGATATTTAGTCAAACATTCTGTGAAGGTGTTTTCAGATGAGATTAACATTTAAATTTAAAGGTAGACTGAGTAAAGCAGATTGCTCTTCCTAGTATCGGTGGGACTCATTCAATAAGTTGAAGGCCTGAATAGAATAAAAAAGGATGTCTCTTCCCTGAGTAAGAGAAAATTTCTTCTTCTTGATGGCCTTTGAACTGGGACATTGGCTTTTTTCCCTGCCTTTAGACTCTAGCTGAAATATCAATTCTCCCTGTGTCTTGAGCCTACCAGCCTTTGGATTTGCCTCTCCTAGGTTCCAACTTGCTGACTCATTCTGTAGATCTTGCAACTTGGCAGTCTCTCTCATCACATGAGCTAATTACTTCTTAAAAATCTCTATCTATATCACCTGTATCATCTGTCTCTATATCATCTCCTTTTATTTCTCCAGAGAACCTAAACTAATACAAGATTTTTCCATATCAATACATTGAAAACTTCCTGTTTTTTTTTTTAAGATTTTATTTGACACAGAGAGAGAGAGACAGTGAGAGAGGGAACACAAGCAGGGGGAGTGGGAGAGGGAGAAGCAGGCTTCCTGCAGAGCAGGGAGCCCGATGCGGGGCTCGATCCTAGGACTCTGGGATCATGACCTGAGCCGAAGGCAGACGCTTAATGAATGAGCCACCCAGAGGCCCTGAAAACTTGTTTTTAAAGTCATATAAAATTCTATTGTCTGTACAAAATGTAATTAATCGGTCCTGTGTCTGGGTATTTAAGTTGTTTCTTTCTGTTATTAATAACAATACGGTAACAATGAATAACTTCATACATTTATAGTTAAGTATTCTTTGCAAGTATATCTGCATGACCAATGCCAGAACTGGCTTTGTTAGGATGAAGAATATGTGCATTTCTGATCTTGATATTGTGAAATTTCCTCCACAAAGGCATGGTTCAGAGCAGAGGCTGAAGACTGGTAGCCCATTGCCCTGCTTTGGTTTGCACAGTGTCATGTTTTTACTAAACTGCTAATTTTTGTATTGATGAGGATGTGAGGCAACTGGAACTCTTGTATTCCGCTGATGGAGTATGAGTACAACCATTTCAGAAAACAGTTTGGCAATTTCATATGAAATTAAACATACCCCTATGCTATTGTATCAGTTAGGGTTTAATTGGAGAAGCAAAAAGGATTTGTTACAGGGATTTGACTTTGGGTAATTGTCAAACAGTCTCTGTAAAACTGTTGTTTTATGTCTGATGCTGGAGCTTAAAG